ATCGCAACAGCCGCTCTGGACAGCGGAGTGGGCGAAGAGCCAAAAAAGAAAAAACTTGATATTGCCTTGCTGTGCTGGTCACTGATGCTATTGTCCAGTGCATTTGACGTGATCACATTCAGTAAGTGCCAAATTTCATCATTTATGCGCTGTGAAAAGCTGCAGCCAGTTGTCCTGAAGCATACTTTGCTCCATAATCGATTTCTCAGTTATTGCAGCAACCGCCCACTGTTCTGCTTTCGTCAGTGATCACGTTTCACATTTGCATGTTCTTAATTTCAGTACAGTAGTGTTACAGAGTTAGGCACTTTAATGATATCCACGGTATTGTGAGGCTTGTGCCAGCAGTAACCCCTTAAAATGCGATCTCTGAGTAGAGGCTTCTGGCGCTTACTTACTTTTTCCTAGCCGCGAAGAAAAGTAACTGTCAACTTCTTCCAAAATTGACACCCGATTTTGCATCACCTTCGTTTTCGATGCATAAAATTTCGTTCGTATTTCCCCGTTTTATGCATTAAACTCCTGGAACGCCCGTATTTCGCGAGCTCTGATTTTTTGGTGAGAATTGAGTAATTCACAAAGCGTTATTTTTTTTCGGAGTTGTTTTTTAACTTTTGTATATTCTTAGTTAAATTGCACGCATTGCATAAATTATGCGTTTTGCGCTTAGCTTAGCCGCATAATTTTTACCGCATTGGCAACTGCTGGTTTTGACTCACGGTCATCCGTACTGGCCAAGTAGGGCTGAACTCAGTACCGACTTTTCGGCATACTTAAAGCTGCGGGACTTTATGCCTCGTTGTACCTCAGCAGTGCCCCATTCCATCTCCCTTCTCAGTCTAGGATGAGGTATTTGGATCTGAATTTCTCCGAAGTAAAAGCATTCGTTTTTATGAAATTTCATTTTTTTTTTCCAAAAATTCTAGAAACCTTTTTATTCTTGTTATTTTAGGCAAATTTAAAAGTGATCGCTGGGCATTCCTAGGGGACGAATATCCCAAAGGAATCACTTCACAGGCCGAGGAAGAAGCATCGAAGAAAAAGAAGATAGCGCTGCTAAAACATACTATTCCCCCTCCTCAGAAATATTCTGTCGAGAAGATGCCCGGAAAGAGCCTCATGACACATCTTCCCAGCACATTGGTATGAAATTTTATTCGTTTCATCTTTTTTTTTTTTGTTAGATATGAAATTTGGGGATCAGGAACAAGCGAACGGTCTGTTATATGTACCGATGAATATTTTGGATTGCAAATTCGTGTTGCACCCCACTCAGTGTGTGTGTATGTGTGTGTGTGGGTGTGTAGGTGTGTGTGTATGTGTGTGTGTGTAGGTGTGTGTGCATGCGCGTGTATATGTGTGTGTGTAAGTGTGTATGTTTGTGTGTAAGTGTGTATGTTTGTGTGTGTGCGTTTGTGTGTGTGTGTGTGTAGGAATTTATACCTGTGTTATAAATTCCTGCAACGAATGGGAACACTCTGAGAATTTCTTTTTTCGCTTTTATTAAAAGTTAATTTTTTTTTTTTACAGAAATCGCAACTGGAAGCATTGTGGGGCAAGCATGTGAAGGTAATGGAAGCGATGAAAGCCAATATGAAAATGTCGCAAGAAGTGAACTCCAAACTGCTTGAGAATATCGACCTGGAGAAGAAGATAATTGCTGATGCGATTGCAATGCAAAATCCTTCCACAGACTCAGAGGTTTTTGAAAATTTTTGTTTTTTTTTTTCAGTGAGCACAGATTTTATTTTGTTTGAACTATAGTAATTATCGTAATAGAACACGAGCAAATTTTCAATTTAAAATGGTACATTTTCAGGCAATGAATCTAATAATGTTGGGAAGTGAGATGGCTGAGGCAATGAGTGCAGCGCTGTTGTCTCCGTCAGGAAGCGATGAAATGCAACTTGATGAAATTTATGCCAAGGTCCGTTTGTAATTGCTTCATTTGTAACTATGCAGATTTTTGTGAATTTTGTAAATTTTTGTAAAAATTGTAAAAAAAAAACCATGTAAATTTTATGAATGCCTTAATTACTAGTCAAATGATTGAAATATGATGGTTTTTATTTGATATGTTTTCCTTTTTCCTCTCCCAGTTCCCTGTTCAATATTTTTGGCTCTATCAGTACCTGAAAAAGTCTCTTTCTTAGTTGCTTTTCTTGGTACTGTGACTGAGATCTCACATTTAACTGCTTTGTTTATGATTTTGATTTATAGATGTGATTTTTATTTTTGATTTACACACGCGTGATTGAAAGGTATTTTTCAGAAATTTGGATATCCAAGCTCTCAGGCAGCTGTAGCTTCAAAGTCTACAGATGACAGTGGTACATTTTTTGCTTGCTTTTTTACTCGTAACAAACCGTGTTCTTATTACTTGAGTAGTACAGTAGAAGGATTCGACTTAAGTGTCATATACAAAAAGACATTTTACGATGCAGCCCCTGTATTTCATCCCTTAGCTTTAAACACAGACCGGACGATGCATACGGGTAGCAGTGGGAATCGTCAGTACAGCTTCCTGCCAGCCATGTATTTGAAGGGAAATGTAACTATTTTGCAAGATGACGTGAGAGAAAGAGAGAGAAAGATTGAAATTGTTTACTGCTTCTGGCCTGTTAGCGGACGAAATTTGTACATTGGGCTGTAGTTCGAACGACTTAAATGCGCTTTTTTGGATTTTTGTGTAACTCAGCGAGGTTCATTGCACTTAGGGGCCTAAGTACCTTA